CAGGGCTCAAGTAATCCTCCCACTCAGCCTCTTGAGTATCTGAGACTACAGGTGTGCACCACCACACCTGACTATTTTTTTGGTATTTTTTATAGAGACAGGGTTTTGCCATGTTGCTCAGGCTGGTCTCAAGCTCCTGTACTCAAACGATCCTCCCTCTTCGGCCTCCCAAAGTGCCGGGATTGTAGGAGTGAGCCACTGTTTGTCATAATTGTAATTGTAATTGTGCATTTGTTTGTAATATTATTTAATTAATTATTATTAAAGCTCTATGAGGTAAGAATCATGTCAATTCTTGCTCATCTAAAAATCTGCAGCACCTCTGAACCTGGCACATAATAGATGCTCAATAGATGTTTGTTGTTTGTTGTTTTTGTTTTTTGGTTTTGTTGAGATAGGGTCTCACTCTGTCACCCAGGATTGAGTGCAGTGGTGTGATCTCAGCTCACTGCAACCTCAGCCTCCTGGGCTCAAGCGATCCTCCCATCTCAGTCTCCCAAGTAGCAGGGACTGCAGGCATGCACCACCACACTGGACCAAATTTTGCATATATATGTGTGTGTGTGTTTGTGTATGCAAGGTGCCCACCACCACACTTGGGTAATTTTTTGTATTTTTAGTAGAGATGGGGTTTCACCATGTTAGCCAGGATGGTCTCAATTTCCTGACTTCGTGATCCGCCCACCTCGGCCTCCTAAAGTGCTGGGATTACAGGCGTGAGCCACCACGCCCGGCCCTGCATATATATATATTTTATCGAGGCAGGCTTCCACCTGGTTTCCCGGGCTGGTCTCAAACTCCTGAGCTCAGGCAATCCACTCATCTCAGCCTCCCAAAGTGCTGGAATTACAGGTGTGAGCTACTGTGCCCAGCAAGATGCTCAATAAGTGTTTTTTGAATGAATAAGTACATTTATATTACACACTCCTCTCCATCTCTATCTCCCAAGCATGAGCCTCTATCATCTCTTACCTGAACCTCAGCAATCACTTTTTGGTTTGTCTTCCAGTTTATAATCAAGTTTCTTTCAATCAGTTTCCCACCCAAAAGCCAGAGTGGTCTAATAAAATAGCCTATCTGGCTGGGCACGGTGGCTCACGCCTGTAATCCTAGCACTTTGGGAGGCCGAGGTGGGCGGATCACGAGGTCAGGAGATCGAGACCATCCTGACTAACGCAGTGAAACCCCATCTCTACTAAAAATACAAACAATTAGCCAAGTGTGGTGGCGGGCGCCTGTAGTCCCAGCTATCGGGAGGCTGAGACAGAAGAATGGCATGAATCCAGGAGGCGGAGCTTGCAGTGAGTCGAGATCACACCACTGCACTCCAGCCTGGGAGACAGAGTGAGACTCCGTCTCCAAAAAAAAAAAAAAAATTCGCCGGAGGTGTTGGTGTGCGACTGAAGTCCCAGCTACTTGGGAGGCTGAGACAGGAGAATTGCTGGAACCCAGGAGGCAGAGGTTATAGTGAGCAGAGATCATACAACTGCACTCTAGCCTGGGCCACAGAGCAAGACTCCATCTCAAAAAAAAAACAAACCCAAAAGCTGCCTATCTGATCATGCCACCCTTCCACCCCCTGTTGAATAGCTTTCAGTGGCTTCCCATGGCCCTTGGAATAAAATCCAAGCTCCTGACGACAGCCTTACAAGGCCTTGCATGGTCTGGCTCACCTCATGCCAAGCTCCACCTCCTCAACTGACATTTCTTAATTCAACAAATACTGAGCGCCTGTTCCACCGGGCACTGGGGTGAGCAAAAACAGACTCCTTCAGCTCTGCTTAGTCCTCTAGATACTTGAACATACCTCCTTCCCATTCACAGCCTGTGCATGTCGTTTCTCTTGTTCTGGAATCCAGTCCTTTCCCTCTCCTTCTTTCTCTACCTTCCTGACTTTGCCCGGTCAACACCTACTCACCCATCCATCAGATCTGATTACATACCACTCATTCAGGGATATCTTATCCGAACTGAAGCTAGCTTAGGTCCCCCTGTATACACTCTTAACTGCTCCTTATATTTGACTTCACAGCACTCACCACACGTTCTATTTTTACACTTGTTCCTGTGGTGATTTGGTGACTTGATTTATACCCACCTTCCCCACCAGGAAGCGCCAGGAGCTTCTGTGTCTGGTTTTTGCTTACCATGGTTTCCCTCCGGTGCTCAGCTGGTGCTCCACAGGCAATTTACTGATTGACTAAATGAATGAGTAAACGATTCCCCCACAAGAGCATTCAGAGTTCTGCCCTTCAGGGAAATGTTGGCACCTCTGCCTCACTGTGCATAGGAGCTGGTGGGTGATGGCTGAGGAGGGGAGGCCTGGAGGGGCGTACATAGGAGCTCTCACCAAGGAGAGAGCTGAATGAGTGTATTAGTCCCTTCCTGCCCCTTCTTGTCCCTAGAGCGCTGTGACTTAGCCCTGCCCACCTCTCCAACCCCACCTAGCTCCTGTCCCCTTTGAAGCTTCAGCGAGAGGAGCTCCTGCTCTTTGTCCCTAGAATTCCCAGCCTCCTGCATACTGACCCCTCCACCTGCAACTTGCCTCCTGCTTCCTTTCACAAGGCTGGCTCCTCCCTATCCTTCTTCAGGTCCAGTTTAAATGCTTTTTTTTTTTTTTCTTTTTGAGATGGAGTCTCACACTGTCACCTGGGCTAGAGTGCAGTAGCGAGATCTCGACTCACTGCAACCTCCGCCTCCCAGGTTCAAGCGATTCTCCTGCCTCAGCCTATTAAGTAGCTGGGACTACAGGTG